TACATGATTCAGTTTGGCTTTAGAAATCCATTCTTAGAGCTCAGCAAATGAAGCTTTTTTTTTTACCCTGATGTCATTCTATTTTTTCTTAAAATTTTTTTCACATTACAAACAGAATACGTGTTTCTTTAGATAGTATGGAAAATATGGTACCACATACAGAAGAAGAAAACAAAAATGACCTTTAATTCCATCACCCAGAAATAGTCCCTGTTAACGCTTTGATGCATTTCTTGCATTTCTCTCTCTCAATGGGATTACACTTTAAAAAAAGATTGCATCATATCTCTTATACCTACTAGATCTGACTGATGGAACCGTGCGTGAGAGTGAGACAGACAAGGCCCGCCCTCTTGGAGCTCACTGTCTAGAGGGGAGACAGAAAATCAAATAGAAATGAACTTTCAGGTTGTTTCCAATTTTCCTGTTACAAACAATACTGCAGTGAGCATTGTTATAGCCAAGTGTCTGAATACACATGTGTTGATTGCATCAGGAATTTAGTGGAATTTATGAGACAGGGCTTTTCCCATTACTAAAAAAAACTGTAGTGGTCATCTTAATGCATATTTGTATTAATAATATGTTGATATTATCTGATAAATACTTCTTCTGCATGCATTAGACGACTTTCAACTACAGACCTATAGATTCTCTGCAATAGAAGGGATTTTGCAGCTTTTCTGTCTAGGCTAAGCCCTCATCCCCCTCCAATATCTAGCTTACATGCCCCCAGGGACAGAGAGCTCGTTTCTTCCTCAGGCTGTCCATTCCATCTCTGCATGGCTCTGCCCTAGGAAATGTTCCCCTATATTGAAATGAAATTGGTCCTCCTGGGCTTCCACCACTGACCCTGGTTCTTGAGACCGTGCAGAGCAAATCCAGGCCTCACCTCATCCTCGCAGCAGCCCTGCTTAGCTTGAGGCCAGCTCCCTGTCCCCTCAGAGGTCCATCCTGTACGCGGACTGCTGGCACAGCGCCCACTCCCTGATGAACGGCAGTTGCTTTCTTGGGACTCTGCCCAGGGATTGCTCCACCTCCCCCAGGGAGCCTTCCCTGACCACCCCCCCCCAGAAGCCCCGGCCCCTGTCCCTGCTCCGTGGAAGCGCCTGCCTCTTTTACCACCTTTTTCCTTCACTCGGCGGCTGCAGCTCTGTCTCTGCATCCAGTGGGCACTGGATAAAAACCTGTTGAATAAACAAACTGAGGATGGGATTCCAGTGCCTGTATCTTGGACAAACTCTGTGATGTTGGGCACACCACGTGTCGGATCTTGGCTCATTGCCCTGCACTGTCCGATGGACACGAAGTCAGTGTCCCGGGTTGTTGGTGCACTAGAAGTCTTCACTGGGTGCACACTGTGAGCCTTGCTCTGTGCCGAGAGCCGGGAACACAGGGGTGAACAAGACAGGACAGGGTCTGGCGTCCGCGGTGCTTCCGCTGTAGAGGGAATATGTAAATGCTCACCGACCCCCATGAGGTCTAGGAAGGAACTGCGGGGGTGCTGGGCAGAAAGACCAGGGAGCAGCTAGGAGTACGTGGCCAGGGCAGCCCACCCTGCCAAGGGGCTCTTCCAGCTGAGACCCGAATGAGGAGGATGCTCTTGTGAAGGGGGGGGCGGGGTGCAGCAGAATTCCAGGCCCAGGGAACAGCAGGTACAAAGGGCTTGAGATGGGTCAAAACCAGGGCAACCCACATATTGACCAGAGGTCGTGTGAAAGGCCTTGGCTTGCTCATTCAATCCACATTCGTGGAGCGATGGCATATGCCAGGCTTGGGGCTGGTTGTGGGTTCTGGGTACCGTGGTGAGTAAACTGGCCCCACCACTGCCCTGAAAGGGCTTGGAGGCGAGTGGGGAGGAGCAGATGATTTAAAAAATAGGTATTAGGCAAGGATTCCGGCCTGTGTCCCCGATCTCATTAATTGGGTAACTGACCCATTGAATCATGGCTTCATGGGTTCATAGGTCGGTTTCTTAATAGGGTGGTTGGTTTGTTCTTTCATTCATCTGACAAATCTTGATTGGGGCCTTCTGTGAGCAAGCACTCTGCTGGGCTCTGGGGAATGAGCACAAATGAGACAGACAGCTCCTTGATCCCTGAGACAAATGCTAAATATGGGAAAATTGAACAGGGCCATGAGACAGAGAGCGGTCAGTAGTGGCAGATCCCGGTCCAAGGAGGAACTACTGAAGCTCAGGCCTGAAGCAGAGGATGGAGGGAGGAGGCCTCCACACAAAGATCAGAGAAACAGTCCGTGCAAAGGCCCGGTGCCAGAGTGGGCTTGGCCTGTTCATGGCTCAGAGGGAAGCCTGCTCTTGAGGGAGCCGAGTAGCGGCTCTGCCTGTTGAACACATGTTTTGCCCTTAACAAATCACTTCCCTAATCTGAAGGAGCTGCCAATGAAGAGGTGCCGCCATCTCTGGCCACACACAGTGCGTGTGTCTTCCTGGACACCAGCAGAGCTCAGCCTCCCCGTGGCTGGCACAGCCTCCTCGCGAGGAGGCCTGAGGAGCGGGTGGCTGTGCGGCGGTGGGGGGAGAACAGGGCTGCATTGTGAGCGTCCCACAGGACGCGCGGGCCCACAGAAGGCCCGAGTGTGTCCAGGGCGGACAGGCCGGGAGCTCAGAAGAGCTCATTGAGCCTGCGGTCGCCAGGCCAAGAGTGCAGCCGGGAAGAAACAGGTCTTTATTAAGGGGAGGCCCGGCACAGCCTGAGACGGAGGCCAGGCCAAGGCCACCCATCTGCAGCTTCTCGAGGCTTCGTGAGAGGTGGGGGGCTGGAGGCAGAGCCACAAGCATGTATAGATACAGCAAGTCTACCCTTATAGTCTGTAGCTTGTCTTACATGGGGGGAGGGAATTCACACAAACACACACACACACCCGTCTTCCTTCCCTCCCCCTTCCTCCTCCAGGACAGAAAAAAATTTTAAACGAAAGGTGATGGCCAGTGAATAACGCCGGCACATGAGGCTCTGTGCTCCTCACCACCTGAACTGAATTGCTCCCCTACAATCCTATGAAGTAGATGCCATTAGTAACCCCATTCTGCAGATGAGGAAACTGAGGGTCAGAGAGCATCATTAACTTGGCCAGTTTCATAGCTGGTAAATAATGGAATGGGGATGGAACCCAGGTCTGTCTGAGCCCGATGCCTGTGCATTTTACCGCCATGGTATGTTTGTGTGTGTGCGTGCGTGTGTGTGTGTGTGTGTGTATTGTCTGGTTGTTCCAGGGCACATCTGGAAACCTGACCTGGTCAGGACACGTAGGGTGGGCTGGCTGCGGGGACCGGCCAAGCTTACTGGCAGCAACTGTTGGGGAAACCGGCCCCAAAGTGCCCCCTGCCAGTGCAGGGTGCTGTTCAGGCTGCGGCATTTCCTTCACGGGGTCAGGGCCTTGGGGAGCGGGTCAATCCCTGAAGGCTGGTGGGCAGGAAAAGGAGCAGAGCCCCAGAAGGAGAGAGGGTTGGGAAGAAGGAGGCCCAGGAGGGAGGCCCGGGGGCCTGCTGAGCCTCCCGGCCCCAGGGCAGACCCACCTGCCTGGGAAAGGGGACTAATGTTTATGGGGCTGTAGCCTCCTCACTGCTCACCTGCCTGACTGGGACCCCCCCCCACATTCTCCCCAGAGTGGGCCCCAGAGGATCTCTCAATCAAATCACCTTTCCCCTGGTTTGGGCCTTCCTGGGGACAGATTCCAAGGCAGCAGGACCCACCCCTTCTCTGCCCTCGCCTCCTGCCTCACCGACTTTGGACTTGGTGCTCTGGTGGAGCTCTCCAATCACAAGTCAGGGGCACGCCTCCCGCCCTTGCTCCTGCGGGTTCCCTGCTGGAATCCTTCCCTGACGGCTTCAGCTGGCAGCTTCCTATCCCCTCCCCAAGGCTCAGGCAGGACTCTGCCCTGACTCCCACACTGGTGAAGGCCTCCAGCCCCTCACGCTCCCCTGCCCAACACCGGTCACAGTGGAGACCAATGACTGTCTGGCCCCCTCCAGAGCTGCTCTCCTCTCAAGGGAAAGGGGTGGTCCCGTTACTCTGACTTAGGGAGCAAATTACCACCCCCAACCATTTAAGCTCTCAGATTTGGGGGGTCAGGAATTTGGGCTCGTACCTGCGCCACGATGTCTGGGGCCTCAGCTGGAACCATCCAGAGGTTCGCTCATGTTGGGCAGTTGATGCTGGCCATCCACTGGGGGCCTCAGTTCCTCTCCACGCCGCCTTGTCACGTAGTCCTTCCATGTGCGCTAGTTTGGGCTTCCTCACAGCACAGCAGCCAGCTTCCCCCAGAGTGAGCACCCCCAAAGATGGAGGCAGGGGGGCTTCAAGAGGAGGGACATAACCCCCGACTGCTTGGTGGGAGATGTGTCCAAGTTGTGGGGTAAGGAGGGCATATGGGATTGTGGTCATTTAGGAAGACACCCGTCCAGTGCACACAGCACCCCCCGAGCCCAGCGCAGGGCCAGTCCCCAGCAGGTACTCAGGAGATTTCTGTTACTCTGTTGAGCTCACATAGTCCGGTCACAGCCTCCAGATGAGGAAACTGAGGCCCAGAGAGTTGCAGCAACTTGCTCAAGGCTCTCCGCTCTGGGGACACAAGTCCAGCTGTGCCACACTGCCCCCTAGTGACCAGAGGCGGGATGTCCAGGAACGCAAGGCCTGAGAACCTGCGTTGACGTGGGGCGGGGTGAGGGGTGCTGGCCCTGCCCCTCCTGAGACACGTGGGCAAACTCTTGACCCTTGGCAAGTTCTGGCACAGAGTGGGGTCAACGCACATTCGTGTCGTCTCTCTCCGTCACCCTGGTGACCCCCCATCGATGATGCCCTTAGGTATCTCTGTGGTCACTGGGGGCTGTGTGGACAGACTGGACCTGCTGTCTGCCGAGTGGCCGTGGGGTTATTGGATGACCGCTGGGTGTAACTCCACTCTGAGTTATACAGGGAAGCCATCCAATGACTCCCACGGTCCCCAGGATGAAGGCCATAGTCACTGAAGTGGCTTGGGCGGCCCCACCTGCCCCCTGCACACCCTATCCCAGCCTCAAATTATCAAGGCCCCAGAGGTTTCTGCTACCTGAAGTCAAACCATCAGCTGAACAAGATGTCACGCTCTGCAGGCCCATGGGAGTCAGAACGACACCCAGCTACAGGCGCCTCACACCCATCTTGTGCTAGCCTGTTTTTTTCCTTCTAAAAAATGAAAAACTGTATTTTCATAAGTTAATTGCACAGTGATGACTCCACTGTATTATATGTGCTTTCTCTCTGTCCCTGGGTGTTTGCACATGCTGTTCTCTCTGTCTGGAGTGCCCTTCCCCCACCCATCTGTCTCTGGCAAACTTCGACTCCTCCTGCAACGTTCAGCTCAATCATCACCTCCTCCAAGAAGCCATTCCTGACTGCCCACCCCAACCCTGGATCTCACATAGAAGGCCAAGGTTTCTTCTTGTGACCACCTGGCTGACCCTTTAGCTGTCTCTCACCCCTGCTGTCCCTTGAAGACAACACTGGGTCTTACTCACACCTGCGTCCTCCATGCCCAGGCCAGTGTCCGGCACATGTTGCATACTCAAGACAATGTTTGTTGAATGAATGAGTAGAGAATGCGGGTATATGTCGGGCCGCCCAGGGGCGTGGTGAAGAGCACAGACTCTGGAGCCGGCCTGCCTGGGTCCGACTTCCGTTTCCACCACTTACAGGCTGTGTGACCTCAGCTAGCTTTCTTGGCTTCTCTGGGCCTCAGTCATCTCAAAGGCTAGGAGTCAGAAAGATACGTGTATCTGCCAGCTCCTAACCGTGGATTTCCATCAAGCAGTGAGGTTTTTTTTTTTTTTTTAATCTCAGCTGATTCTAAGACTAGGAGGAAATATAAGAAAAAATAAAATACAATGGATGCTCTGCGATGGAGGAAGAGCGTGGGAGTGGGAGTCTCGGCGTAACAGTGGGTGTGGCCGTGCCGTCTCCTCCCTGCTCTGAGTTTCGGTTTCCTCGTCCATCACACAGTTGGGGTGGAGGGTGGATGGGCGCTGGATGGTGTGTGGACCCGGCCACAGCACCGCAGCACCGGGGCCTTATAGGCCCACAGCAAGACAAGCACAGAAACGGAGAGTAAGATCCAGAGGCTTAACCCTCTGACAGAGCAGTTTTACATCTTTTAGACCTAATAACAGAAAATTTGGGCTTGTCTGTTGTATGCCTGTTTTTTCATTTCAGTTTTCTAATAATTCATTGGTGGTGTGTTTTATGAAAGAGGAGGCCCATCATGGATGGGAGGTGGATGCTGGGCTGGCTCTGCAGCTGGGTCAGAAGGGCTCAGGGAGGGGCTGGCCCAGTGGCGCAAGTGGTTAATTGTGCGCACTCCGCTGCAGCGGCCTGGGGTTCGCCGGTTCGGATCCTGGGCCTGCACCAACGCAGTGCTTGTTAGGCCATGCTGTGGCGGTGTCCCATATAACGTAGAGGAAGATGGGCATGGATGTTAGCCCAGGGCCGGTCTTCCTCAGCAAAAAAAAAAAAAAAAAAAAGAGGGGCTCAGGGAGAGGACAGGTGAGGACCCAGGTCAGTTGAGTCCCAGTTCCCAAAGGCCCAGAAGCTTCCATGTGGTCTGAATGCCCTCTGGCTCCCCGAGCCAGCCTCCCTCTGGCCCAGCTCGTCCACGTCTGAGACTGGCACCCCATTCTGCCACGGCCCAGACTGGAGACCTGGGTCCGGCTGGACTCCTCTCCCCTCCCCCGCCCCATGAGGGGCCAGTCCCCAAGTCTTGTCCCTTCTTCCTCCTCTGTGTCATTAGGTACACCCCCCTCTCCCGCCCACCTGGGCCGCAGCACAGCCTTGTCAACAAATAAGAGTCACAAACTGCAAGAGAAGCAAAAAGTTCATTTGGGAGTCTCAAAAGTTACAATTTGGGGAGCACAGATTCAGGTAGAAACCCAAATAGCGTCCGGCTAGGGAGTAAAAGTCAGGGGCTTTTAAAGGCAAAGAAGGGAGGTTGTATCACAGAGAATGTTAACTAGAGTTGGAGGCAGAGAGCTAATCTCGGCTAAACATTGGTGACTATTGATTCCGTCTTCAGAAAGCCCACCAGCCTCAGTCTCTGTGACCAGGATGTCCGTCCTCCTGCTGACTGTCAGACAACTGCTTGCAAACAATTGCCGTTCTGGCCCCATCCGAGGTTCAGGACAGCAAGGCAGTTCCTCTGGACAGGCAGCTCCAACTCTATTGTAAAATGCCTCCACTGAAGTCAGCTTTGACAGCATCCTGCCTGGTCTCCCAGCCCCCAGGCCTGCAAACCACCCCCACGCCACCCTACCCTAGAGTGATTCGTCTAAGTCACAGATCCACCCCAGCCCCGTCCACCCGCCGCCACCTCCTGCGGGAAGCAGGTGTCGACCGTGTGCCAGACCCAATACGCCCTTGACCTCACTTAATCCCCACTGCCACCCCGTCGGGGGTGCTGTTGCACCACTTCCTACATGAGGAAACTGAGGCTGGGGTGGACAGTCACGTGTCCATGGTTCCCAGCTAGGAAACGGCAGGGAAGTGGTGGAGAGGCACGCAGATCTGAACCAGGCCTGTCGGATGCCCGAGTCCCTGCTCTTTCCTTCACCGGGCTGCCGTCTATAGGATTGAGTCTAAGTGTCATGAATCATCACCAGCAACAGCTGGTGTCATCTGCCCCGTGCATTAGCCCAGTCTTTCCTCCTCCTCCCTCCGCCCCCAGGGGCCTGTCCACACCAGGTTCTCAGGAGGCCTCCCGGCCTCCTCCTGCTCACTCTGTCTGCCTGACAGCATCACCCCCTCTCACCAGGTGAGGTTCCCAGCCCAAATACCTTCCTTCCCATAAATATAGGGACTGCCATTCTAAACCGCCGGGCACTGCTGTTAGCAAATTAGATTAGCTCATTGAATCCTAACATGAGCCTTGACGAGTATGATCAGCATCATTGTATAGATGGGGAAACTGAGGAATAGGTAAAGTAAATACATCTCCCAAGACAAGACAAGACAGCCGAAAGCAGTTGGGCTGGGATTTGAACCCACGTGGTCTGGCCCTGGAACCAGGCACTCAACGGCTTCACCGTCCCACCTCTAGTTTTTTGCTCCCTGCCTTCTCAAGAGAAGCCACCCCCTCCTCACCCCTGCCTGACTCTTCCAGAGCCCCCACACTCCTCTACACTGTAGTATTTAGTGAATGGTGTCTCAACACATGCACACACGTGCATGCACACACATGCACGTGTGTGCACAGACTTCCACCTGAAAAAGCTTGGCTTTCTGTCTCTCTTTATGTGCGGCTTTCTGTCTCTCCTGCATGAGCTCCGCTTCACCACCCCAGAGTAATCCGGTGAAAGTCAGGACCAATGGCCAGGAGGTGGAATCCCCACACATAGAATGCTTAACACCTGACCCCAGGGCCTTCCTCCCCTGTCTTCACTCGGACCTGTTGCCACCTCAGGGCCTTTGCACTTGCTGTTCCCTTGTGCCTTAGCTGCTCTGCCCCCAATCACAGTCGGCTGCCTCCCTCTCCTGCTTTATGTCTCAACACAGATGAGAACACCTCCTGCCAGAGGCCTTCTCCATCCTGGACCATCCTGGGAGCAGGACTGGGGAGCATCCAGCATGGGGAGTGGGATGGTGTAGTGGTCAGTGGGTGGGTGCTGGAGTGGCTTTCCAGGGCATGTAGGGCACCCCTGCTCACAGCCAGATTAGAAGCAAATGACATCTTCTCTGTGTTTCCACTCCCCATCTGAAAAGTGGGGACCACCTTTCAGTACCCACCTAGCAGGGCAACGCGGGAGAATGTGAGCAGGGGGCTCAGCATAAGGCCGAGGTCATGCTGACTGTGGAATGTGGAAACTGAGGCCAAGGGGAACCCCTGCCCAGGGTGCCTGTGAGGTGGGCTGTGGAGCCCTGTGTCCTGCTCCCAGGAGCAGAGCATCCAGCCTGCAGGGAGCCAGGAGCTGGGGGGGAGGGAGGGAGGCAGTCAAGGCCTCTTCTTTGAAGCAAAGATAGACAATACTGAGAACCAAAGGAACGAGCCCCCGACACATGCGACAACCTGGATGGATCTCAAGGGCGTTATGCTATGAAAACTAAGCCACTCTCAAAAGAAAACGTGCTGTATGGTTCCATTTATATAACACTCTTGAAATTAAAAAAACATAACCATGGCGAGCAGATCAGTGGTTACCAGGGGTTGGAGTGAGGAGGGGGTGACCACCAAGTGGATAGTGCAAGGAGTGTTTTGGAATGACAGAACAGTTCTGCATCCTGATCGGAGTGGTGGTTACACAAATCTCTATGTGCAATAAAATTCATAGAACTATATACAAAGAGAAAAAGTGAGCACATGGATAAACAGGAGAAATCTGAATAAGGCCTGTAGTTTACTTAGTATCATGCCAGTGTCCATTCCCTGGTCTTGATCGTTGTGTGATGATGGTTATGTAAGATGCTGTCATTGCGGGGAGGGTGAAGGGCACACAGGAGCTCTCTGAGCTATTTTTGCAACTTCTGTGCAAGCCTAAAACTACTTCAAAATAAAAAGTAAAAAAAAAAAAAAACCACAGAAAACCCTAAGACTACTTCATCTAACAACAGCAGAATACACATTCTTCTCAAGCTCACCTGGAACAGTCACCAAGATAGACCATAAAATACACCTTAAATTTAAAAGAATATAAATCATACAATGTATACTCTCAGACCACAATGGAATTAAACTAAAAATCAATAGCTGGAAAATCCCCAAAATCCTTGGAGACTAAACAACACTCTCTTAAATAGCACATGGGTAGAAGGAGAAATCTCAAGAGAAATTTTAAAATATTTTAAACAAAATGAAACTGAAAATACAAGTTATCAAAATTTGTGGGGTGCAGCAAAAGCAGTTCTTAGAGGGAAATTTATAGCATTGAATGCATTTATTTGAAAAGAAGAAAGATCTAAAATCAATAATCTAAGCTTCTACCTTGGGAAATGAGAAAAAGAAGAGCAAATAAATCCAAAGTAAACAGAAGAAACAAAAACACTGAGAAGGCCTTGTTCAAAGTTTCAATGGTCTGTGTGCAATTTATTGCTAGAATTCCAGGTGGTGTGCCCCTCCACAGGGCTGCATATTTTGACTTCTTGGGTGTGATCATTCCCTGTCTGCAGCCTGAGTGTGCCAGAGCACCTATTTTGGTTCCTTTGGAGTCTCTGAAATTTTTGTTATCTCTGAAGTCAGAGTTTGCTTCCAGCCTCCTCCTCGCACGGGCAGAGTGGGTTGAGCAGATTATGCATCCCTCTGAGCCTTGATGGGCTCTCCTGTGCACACTCTGAGGCAAGGGTCCAGCTCGGTGCCACCCAGGTAAGAGCATTCCCTAAGGTGAGCCATTGCTGGAGGGGGCGACATGCAGCGCTCTTTTCTGTGCTCCAAGCTTCATTACTTGTGTGCTGGGATGGAGACGGGCTTATCCTTGTGGGCAAAGAGCTTCTGCTTGGGCCCTCCCGCCCACCGCCAGGAAGGCTGGGTTTCCTGAGGAGAGCTCTGAGGCCAGCTGCAGGGACCACCACCCACACGCCCACTGAGCCACCACCCACACGCCACTGTCTCCCATTCCCTGTGGGGTGCCTAGTTTCCATATAGCCATTCATTCGCTCTGCTGGTCTGATAGTCATTCATTCGACAGATACCCGAGTGTGCCGGGCATGGTGTCACCTGCAGAGAATACAGCTGAGGTGGAGCAGGACCGACAGGGCCCATGCCCGCCTAAGGTGGGTGAGGCGGACGGTAATCAGATGATGACCCAGACACAGTTGTGGTAAGTGCTATGAAGGGCACGCACTGGGCATCTTCCGGGATCACGGGGAAGCTGGAGGGGAGAGAGCGAGGGGAGAGGGGCCCACGACAAGGTCAGTGAGGGGTGGGAGCCGTATCCTGTAGGGCCTGGCAGGCCGTAGGACAGAATTTGGGTTTTATTCTAATGTAACAAGAAACTAATGAGGGCTTTTGGCAAAGCCCAATATATCTGATTTATGGTTTTTAAAGATCCCTTTGGCTGCTGTGTACTGTGTGGAGAGGGGCTTGGGGAGGGGACGGGGGAAGATGGGGTAGCGATGGGGATTGACAGAGTGGGTATTACTGGGTGGTGCCTGCAGTCACACTGGTGAATTGGATGTTAGCTCTAATTACTAACAGCAGATCATTCTAAGCCAAAGTCCTTAGAAGATACTGCCATGCGAGAGTCCATGAGGCAAAGTTTCTGGTAAAAGAAAGTGGGGGCAATGAGACAGATAGGACCGAGCTGGGCTCCACTGGCTTGTGAATTGTGTCTCATGTCCAAAGAGAGCTGGTGACCTGGACTCCCTGGCTGCCATCCTGAGCCCATCTTTCTCCTTATTCACTTACAGCAGCAGGAAAAAATCCTTAGGAACTAGTGCTTTTCATCTTCCCATGCTGCCCCTACTGACGGCTCTTTAGCCAAGCTGGTTTAAAACTGTAAATTCCAAACCATTATTGCTTTTCTTCTCTCAGTATGTCCCTTGTGTCTCAAGAAATACCTGTTTTTATAAATAAAGTTTTATTCGCACACAGCCTGCCTATTTGTTTACATACTGTCTGTGGCTGCTTTTGCACAAGGGTGGAGTGAGTAGTTGGGAGACCATACGGCCTGCAATTCTATTCACTGTCTGGCCCTTTAGGGACTTTGCTGACCCCTGTCCTAGATCATACAGTTAGCAGGTCCACACCAGGCTGTCTACCTCCAGGACCCGCACTTTTATGTCTACGATGGACCCACCTCCTCACACACGGCCAAGACTCATAGTCCTAAAAGTCCTGGCTTAGGGGGAAAGCAGCCACAAGGTGCTTACTACTTAGTACTCGATGTTATGTGTGTGCCTAAACTGACTGCTGGACACCCAAGGCTGCCCTTGGACCAAGGGAATGTCCTATGGACTCCTGAAAACTCTAAGTAGTTATTGTGCTCTTGGGTGTGGGAGCAAAGAACAAGTTAATTGACTCCAGTGCCATTGGTGGGGAGCCCCTCCCAAGCTTTATTAAAACCCATGGCCACCCTTTTTTTTTTTTTTTTTTTTGGTGAGGAAGATTAGCCCTGAGCTAACATCTGTTGCCAATTATCCTCTTTTTGCTGAGGAAGATTGGCCCTGGGCTAACATCTGTGCCTGTCTTCCTCTACTTTACTTTATATGTGGGATGCCGCCACAGCATGGTTTGATAAGCAGTGCATAGGTCCGCGCCTGGGATTCAAAACTGAGAACCCCACGCCACCGAAGTGGAGTGTGCAAACTCAACCACTGTGCCACTGGGCCGACCCGCCATCCCTGTTTATTATTCTAGAAAGTGGGGGAGCTCCAGACCCCAGCAGCAGAGATGGTGTGCAGGGGTCACCCAGGATACCTGGGCCTCCACCTACAGCTCCAGGAGCGGTGCCCCCTCCCAACTTGTTTTTGACTTGTGAAGAGGTGGAAGGACCAATTTTCCAAGATCCAGAAGGGCCCTCTTAACTCTCCAGCTGGTCAGGGTGGGAGAGGAGGGAGCCAGAAGGTCTGAGGGTGGCAGTGCCAAAGAAAGCAGGGGTGTGCCTGGCTCCCCCACCCCAATTCTTGAGACAGACAAATGGCCTTCGTCTAATGTGTGTCTTGTACTATGCAAAGCAGCTTCAAGTCCCCATTCCAAACACGGCTCCGCACTAGTTTCTATGTAGAAATCTCAGAAAAAACACCCACTGAACAAGAGAATTTCAGAACCCAAGTTCCCTTAGTGATAAGCTGCACATATAATCATGTAAGTTAACATCTAAACCAGGACTTTTTAAAAATGTATTGCCAGGAAATTATATATGATTAGCTTTAAAAATGGTTAAGCTGAATTCCATTCTTTTATTGGTTATTACACTTTTAATTTTCTCAACCCAATTTACTTTTTTTGTAGATAATGAAAGTAAATATCTAAACATTATATATTCCTAATAAAGAAAGTTATACTTTATAACATATTTCTTAACTTTTGCTTTCTGGAATTTAGGATTTCTATTATGCAGATATTAAATCTCAGCTTTAAAATTATTCTAATTTTTCATAATTTGTCCTAATTACTACCTTTTAAATATTAACCACAAGTTTAAAAACCACTGTAGCAATACAGATGTAACATAAGGAAGCTATTTTCGTATTTAGTGACTACGTCACAGGGATATAATAATTACTTACAGCAGTACCCAGTAGTTGCCAAATAGTAAATGTAGGCTACCTGTTCTTTCAGCTTCTAAATTCAGGAGTTCTTTAATTTGTAATCAATGAACTACCTGAATAAAAAGCATAAATGTGGGGGACCGGCCCCGTGGCATAGCAGTTAAGTGCGAGAGCTCCCCTTCGGCAGCCCAAGGGTTCGCAGGTTCGGATCACGGGCATGCACCAACACACCACTTGTCAAGCCATGCTGTGGCGGTGTCCCATATAAAAAGTAGAGGAAGATGGGCACAGATGTTAGCCCAGGGCCAATCTTCCTCAGCAAAAAGAGGAGGATTGGCAACAGATGTTAGCTCAGGGCTGATGTTCCTCACAAAAAAAAAAAATTGTAAACGTGTGACATAGAAAGCTAAGCACAAGATTACATTATCAGATTTTTCATAATACACAGCTAAGTGAGAATATACCTACTCCATCAAGCTCAAAGATCTATGACAAATGACACAAAAGCAACCTAAGCTGTATGCTTATTTGAGGGCTACTATCTAGGAGGACCACCTTATAAAAGATTAAAATCAAGATCAAGTGTGTTGTATCTACAAGGGATCTTTCCTCATTCCATGCTGTTAGGGTGAAAGAACAAGATCCTCCACAAACGATTCAACTATTCATTTTGAGAGGGAAGAAACATAATGCAGTGAAATAGTAGCTAAGGTTAGTTCTTCATGTTAGCCTTCTAACGGAGGTACTCCCCAGCCACTTTTCTTTATCCCACTCCTAAAACCATGTGAGCAACACGTCTATTTTCAAACAAACAAAAAGGGAAACACAGTCATGCACTGCATAAGGACATTTCGGTCACCAACAGACTGCATACACCACAGTGGTCCCATAAGATTAGGACCATACAGCCTAGGTGTGTAGTAGGCTATACCATCTAGGTTTGTGAAAGTCAACTCTGTGATATTCCCACAATGACCAGACTGCCTAACAATGAATTTCTCAGAACATATCTGTCATTAAGCAACACGTGAAGTCCTTTTCAGAAGGAAAACTTTTCCAATAAAATTTAAATTTTTTATTAATATTTAAAATTTAAAACAAATGTTGGCAACCATATATAGACATGTTTGCTATGGGTAAATTAAGATTGTGAGCTTATACTTTCAAATAGAACTTCCGAATTAGTTGCAATAAATACATTTTCTCAGATATTGTATAATTTCCTGCAGTTTACAATCGATGATATGGAAAGTTTAATATAATGTTAAATAATTTTCCATCTATCCTAAAGGCAAGCTATAAAAATTGAATCACTATTAGGATACAATAATGACAAATCTTTAAGGGCTCAGTAGTTGTTCTTAAGAGAATATAAATATATAAAGCTTGAAAAGGTAACACTGCTAATTGAGTTGTAAAATCCATAAAAATAACAGTTCTGCCACAGTGCACAGATAAATTCATTCATTTTGCTTCCCTATCCCCACCCCCCCCAAGTAGCTTTCGGGGTAGAACTGGAAGACATAGAAAATCACACATCCTACGTGAAATAATGAAGGTAGTGAGAAATACAGTGTGCAAAAAAGAAACTTTAAAATTCCATACTCCAATATCATGTAGGTCTAGTAACAGGCCTTTCAATTGATTTAATTAACACTCGAGGTAATCTCAGCGTCCTCTCGCAGTGTCGTCCAGCAGACTCAGATCTGAGGTCTTTCGCTGCAACAGGGAAAGTGGTCCTCGGTCCGAAACAGGACGGGGGGTTCGTAGCCGGTCTGCTGGGGCCTGCTGGAGGAAGCCTTGTTGAAGAAGGAGGGCACGCTAATTGTGTGCAGGAATTTCCTGAACGTACTGGGGAAAGTCCCCAGCTCGGCCTCCGCCTTGGCGACCTGCTCCTCCATCCTGGCCACGCTGGCGCCGATCATCCTGACGAAGGCCTCGAGTCTGTCGATCTTGCTGTACACCTGCCGCATCTCGGTGGCCTTCGCGTAAATGCGAGGCACGCCCTCGCTGACCACGTGGGAGGAATCGCCGCGCAGCATGTCCAACATGCCCACAAACTCGTCCACCCGGGTGAGCAGGTCCTCCAGGCTCGCGTCCAGGGCCTCGACCTCGGGCCGCGCCCCGGCTCCGGGCAGCAGGCAGGCGGCGTAGCCCGCGGCGGCGCGGCGCAGCAGCGGCAGGTCGCGGCCCGGCGTGCCCAGCTCCGGGCCCTCGTCCTCCCACGGCCCCGAGGCGCTGCTGTGGCTCTGGGACACGTTGCCGCTGTCCCCGCTCCAGGCGCCGCCCTGGAACTCGGCCTCCTCCGCCGGCTCCTCGCGCGGCGCTCCGCCGCCCCGACCCTCCATGGCCCGCGACGGCCCGGGCCACCAACCCCGCTTCCGGCGCCGCGCGCGCGCGCACGCACAGCACGCACGCCCCTGCGCCAGGCCTCCACTCGCTCACGTACGCGCACCGTCCTTGCTTCCGGTCTCCGCGCGCCCACGTACGCGCACGCGCACCAATCTCTGCCTCCGGAACGCTCACGATCACGCGCGCGCGCGCTGTGGTTTCCGCGCGCGCGCGCTCACACTCAACCCTTTTAAAAATTTGACAGTATAACAGAAGAACAATAAAGTGCATACATCTTAAGTGTACAGATTGATTATTTTTTACATATCCTTATAACCGTATAACCTCCATCCAGATCAAGATACAGAACATGTCCAGGACCCATGAAGGGCTCCCTCCTGTCTACTTTCTTTTTGCTGCTTACGGTAAAATGACAGAGAAGAGTGATAAGGAAAAGGAAGGTCTGTTAAACCTTGATGTTCTTGATAACTTTGAAAGTTCTCAAACTCTTTAGACGGCTAAAATAAAGAAATAAAATTAAGAAACGGCTTCATAGCAAAGATAAAATCCAGGGCACCCCCAGAAAAACCAGTCATGACTGTAAAATCCCTCTTCCCACCCACCCGCTTCTGTTGCCCAATTTGTTGTTAAACAAAAAGTCATCTTTGTCTAAAATAATTTTTCCTCCAGCGGGCCCGTGGCTTAGTGGTTGAGTGCGCGTGCTCCGCTGCGGCCGGCGGGGTTCGGATCAGGGCGCGCACCCATGCACCGCTTGGCAGGCCATGCTGAGGCCGCGTCCCACATAGAGCATCTAGCAGGATGTGCAACTAGGACATACAACTATCTACTGGGGCTTTGGGGGAAAAAAAGGAGGAGGATTGGCAATAGATGTTAGCTCAGAGCCCGTCTTTCTCAGCAAAAAGAGAAGGATTGGCATGGATGTTAGCTCAGGGCTGATCTTCCTCACCAAAAAAACAAAAAATAATTTTTCCTCGATTTTCCAGTTGCTCAATTATTCTGTGTTGAAGGGAGAAAACTTAGAAAACAGAAGCAAACAATGTAAAATCCTTTTAAAAATCTCAGAAAAGGGGGCCAGCCCAGTGGCGCAAGCGGTTAAGTGCGCATGATCGGCTTTGGCCACTGGAGTTCGCAGGTTTGGATCCTGGGCGCGCACTGACACGCCATTTGTCAAGCCGTGCTGTGGTGGTGTCCCATATAAAGTAGAGGAAGATGGGCATGAATGTTAGCTCAGGGCCAATCTTCCTGAGCAAAAAAAGTGGAGGATTGGCATCGGATGTTAGCTCAGGGCTGATCTTCCTCACAAAAAAACAAACAAAACAAACAAACAAAAAAGAAAACTCAGAAAAATCAAAGGTAGTGGCTCAGAGTACTATTGAGTCAGAATAACAGTTCTTTAAAGAATTAAGGATGTGCCTCACAGAGCCTCTCAATCAAACAATAGGGTCTTTAGGAAACTGTCCCTTAGTGTTATCAGCAGAAGCCCAAGATAGCGATGGACTTATCACAAAGGGATTGGAAGGTGGGGCTTTTGTCTAGTGGAGTGAACTGCGATGACATTCATAGAAAACCCACGAAGTCTTAAAGATAATCATATCAGAAGAAACACTGCAGCTTGGACTAGAAAGGACAGAGATGGTACAAAATGAAAGGCCCGTGGACTCTCCAAGTTTCTACAAGCATGAAGCAGGCTGAGATAGTTACTTATCTGCAAACACATGCTACATTTTATGAAAAAGAAAGTATGACTCAGGGTGGAACCAAGAGCACAGATGTTGGAGCTGAGAGCCATGGAGAATTATTTCTAGACCTTGAGACTGAATTGCACTATGAATCAGTGACTCCTTTGTGCCTCCCATTTCCCCCATTTCCCCATTTCATACAGGAATGTCTGTAATGGTTGTCCTATGCCTGCCCCACAATTGTATATTGGATATGGGGCAGGGGGTCAGATAACCCGTCTCTTTAGTTTCAAAGTTCTACAGATCAAGAAGAACTGTAATCTAGGAGCTGGATTTAAGGAACTACACTCATGGAGCCTTATCCACATCTCACCTAATTTAGATGGCAAAATTCTGGACTCAGAGTTGATGCTACAATAGGATGTAACTTTTGGGGACCTGGGGTGGGGGTGAGTGTGATATACATGTTGGAAGGACGTGAATCATTAGTTGCCAGAGAGCAGACTGTGGTAGCCAGCCTTTCAAGATGACCCCCAACGATCTCCACCTCGTATTGTTCACACTCTTGTGTATTCCTTCCTGTTGAGTGTGTACTGGACATAGAGACTTGCTTATAATAAATAGAAAAAGGCAGAAGTCATGGTGCATGACTTAGAGATTAGGTCATAAGAGGAGGTGTGTCATGTCTTTCTCTCAAATCACTTGCTCTGGGGAAAACCAGCTACCTGCCTTCTTGTGAACAGCCATGTGGAGAAACTCATAACAAGGAACCGAGGCCTTTTACCAACAGCTAGTGAAAAACAGCCTCCTCCTAACAGCCATATGAGTAAGCCATCTTGAAAGTGGATTCTCCAGCTCCATTCAAGCCCCAACATGACTGCAACCCCAGCTGTTATTTGACTGCAGCCTCATGAAATATCCTGAGCTGAAACTGTGTGATGTAACAAATATTTGTTGTTTTAAGCTGCTAAATCCTGGGGTAATTTGTTATGCAGAAATAGATAACTAATACACCATTGAAAGAATGTACTACAATTTATTTATTTATTTATTCTCTTGCTAATGAACATTTGGGTTGTTTTAGCTTTGGGGCTGTTATAATAAAGCTGCTATGAATATTCCTCTGTATGTCTTTTTGTGGACAAATACACTCAAAATCTGTTGAGTGTAAACCAAGGTGCCAGATTTCCCAGATCATAGAGTTGGTATATGTTAGTCTTAGTAGATACTGCCAAATAGTTTTCCAAAGTTTTTGTACCAATTTACATTCCCATTGTTATGGACTGAATGTATATGATCCCCCCCCAGTTCATATGTTGAAGCCCTAGACCCCAGTGTAGCTGTATTGGGAGTAAGAAAGTAATTAAGGTTAAATGAGGTCATAAGGGTGGAGCTCTGATCTGATAGCATTAGTGTTCTTATAAGAAGAGACACCCAGAGCTCATGCTCCCTCCCTCCCCACCCCACCCCCACCTGTACTCAAAGAACAGGTCATGTGAGAACTGCAGCAAGAATGTGGCCATCTGCAAGCCAGGAAGAGAGATCTCACTAGAAACTGACTTTGCTGGTGCCTTGATTATGCACTTGTAGCTTCCAGAACTGTGAGGGGAAATAAACATTTGTTATTTAAGCCACCCAGTCTGTGGTATTTTGTAATGGCAGTGTGAGCAGACTAAGACAACCATCAAGAAGGTATGAGAGTTTTAGATGGTCCACATCTTCCCCAACACTTGGTATTGTCAACATTTTACATTTTAGCCATTCTAGTGGATGTGTAGTGCTATCTCATTGAGGTTTTAATTTGCATTTCCCTGTTGAATCATGAAGCTGAGCACCTTTTTATAGACTTAATGGCCATCTGGATATTCTCTTTTGTGAAGTGCTGGCTCAAGTCTTTTGCCCATTTTTAAGTCATTTGCCTTTTTTTTTAAATTAAGCTATAGAAGTTCTCAGTAGTTTGAATATGAGTCCTCTGTCAGATATGTCTACTGAAAATATCTTCTCCCACACTGTGGCTTGCTTTTTCATTCTCTTATTGGTGATTTTTGATGAACAGAAGTTGACAATTTTAATAAAGTCCAATTTATTAAACCAGGAAAGTTTTGAGACTGAAAGGGGACACTGTTAATAATCACATCTCACTCACTCTTCCCTCTGACAGATATTCATGCGTGGACCACTGGTCTTTATTTATCAGACTGGAAAACTGAAGCCCTGATCTGTGGCATTTGTGTAAGCAGGATCCCTCCAAATTACTGCTAATGTGGCACTGGGTGAACAAGCCTGGAAATAGACTCCATCCATTCCACAATGACACGCTATTGGTGCTCTCATAGGAAAATGGATCAAGAGTTGGGCATTGTTTGAATTCAATATTGGATTATTAAAAAACTTAGTGCAAAAATTTTTGTTAAATGAATATTAAAGCACATTTACTGGGCCCCTGCTGTTTTTCAGGCCCTTTGGATGGTGGGAACACAGAGGTGACCAAGACCAGAATCTGCCCCCAAGGAGCTTCCAGTCTGGTAGAGGTGCTTATATTTTAGGGAAGAAGGCCTTCTCTTTAAAATATTCCCTAAGGTCCTACTGTAACCAAATTCAAGGGATTTGCCTCTTGGTGATGCACAGCTGAAAATACGACCAAAGCTGAAGTAGGTGAAGAAAAGGTTTTATTGCTTGCACAAGCAATGGAAAACACCAGGAATAGCTCCCAAAGCAGTGTCCCCAGAGCTTAGTGCTGGTGGAGACTTTATATACACGAGTGCAGAGGATATAATATATACTGCGTAACAACTGCACTCAATCAGGGCACATGTGCAGCAGGAAAGCAGGCCATTACATAATGGTCGTTCAAGGTACCATTACACAATGAGCTCAAGGAACATGTCATTACATAACAGGTCCACGGTAACTTTTGGACACTTGGAGCTGGAGCAATTTGCAGGGGTCTTGCAGCAATTGTGTAAATTTCACTGTAAGATGGCAACATCTGCAAATATGGGGACATCAGCTTCTGAAAAACAGAACATTTAGTTTCTCCTTGTCTGGAAAACATTTGACAGCCTGTGTTAGTTATTGATCAGGTTCTCAGTAACCCTTTCCTTTCCTTGTTCCTGCTCACACTACTTTAACCTAGGCTGCAGGGAGGGCCTTAGGACAGAGCCTAATCACAAGTGGCCCTTTACCTTGGTTTGCTCACAGTCTGTTGAAGACAGACCAAGAAACTACTGACCAGAACAACCCAAGGCAGCGAGAAAGAAATGTCCCCAGAAAGAAAGGACGGGAGTGAGGAGGGGGGAGTACAGAGGGAAGGGCCCTTAGCATTTGCGGTTTCTGACTTAAGAGCCCTACCCCAGAAGAGGGAGCATGTGAGGTAGTAAAGAGCAGGGACTGTGGACTCAAATAGCTCAGGGTTCAAATTCTGACCATAAGCACGGTTTTTAGTCAGTTTTTCTCCTATCTCATAGGTTTATTGTGTATAAATGAATTCATACAAGTTAACTTAAGCGCTTGAAGCAGTGCCTGCTTGGATAGTAGCGCTGTGACCGCCAGCCTGTTTTATTCAAATACGAGGAAGGAAGAATCGCTTTTACTTAAAAAAACAGTAAAAGCCCTGGAAGCTCTCGCGGAGGCGGCGAACAAACCGCTTCCGTGCCTTAAATTCACATTAGAGAAGGGGGCGGGGCGGGGCGGGGCGGGGCGGGGCGCGCGGAGCAGGTGCCCTGGGCGTGCGCGCGGCCGAGGCCGGGCTCCTTGCGTGCGCGCGCCCGCTCCTCGGTCTTGCCCGAGGCGTGACCGTAAAGGAGCCCGGCCGTGTCGTGAAAAGGGCCACAAACACGCCCGGGGTGGCGCTGCGCGTCTGTCCTGTTCGCTGCTGCGTCGTTTGCGTTTCTTCCCGGAGCGGTTGTGAAGCGAAAAGGCTTGGGAAACAATCTTCAAGATAATTCGGGAATACTGTTGACAAGGGGTGGGGTCGCTTCGACTCCGCAGCAACTTGCTCCGCCGTCCCCGGGAGGTGCGGGCTGAAGAAGGGCCGAGAATGCGGCCCGTGGACCCGGCGGAGGAGGAAGCGCCGGAGGAGGTGGAGGTGCTGGAGCCCGAGGAGGACTTCGAGCAGTTCCTGCTGCCGGTCATCAACGAGATGCGGGAGGACATCGCGGCGCTCACCCGGGAGCACGGGCGGGCGCAGCTGCGCAACCGGAGCAAGCTGTGGGAGATGGACAATATGCTCATCCAGATCAAGACGCAGGTGGAGGCCTCGGAGGAGAGCGCCCTGAACCACCTGCAGGCGCCGGGCGACGGCGGCGAGGGCAGGGGCACGCGGCGGGGCGAGCGCGCCGAGGAGAAGGCGCAGGAGGTCGCGAAGATGGCCGAGATGCTGGTGGAGCTGGTGCGGCGGCTGGAGAGGAGCGAGTCGTCGTGAGCGGCCGCGGTGAGGCCCGCGCAGGCGTGGTTAAACGGCTTCCTGTATGGTAGTGATATTCTAGGAGGGAAGCCCCGATCTTACTGCCTCAGAACTTGGGTCGTGGGCGGAAAGATGGGTCCAGAGGAAAGTGAATGCAGTTAGTTTGGCTACGGGTTAGTAGATACTGTTTTTTATGGCCCTACCCGCCCCGACTGATAGAGAAAACTTAAAATAACTTCTGGTTTGTTTTTGTGAAACATAAAAGTCAGTTCTAACAGGACAGTTGCGGGAGGTAGACCTGCCTAGGCACTACGGAGGATGGGGGGGAAACCAAAGAGCACCTAGGCCATAGAGCAGAGTAGGGGAGGATGAAAACAGAGGGAAAGAGAAACGGAAAAGTTTCAAGTTGTAGGCCTTTTCTAGAAATTTCCAGGTTTTTCTTGAAGGCAGGTGTGTCAGAGGACCCTGTCTGAAAGAAGAGGCATTCTTGTGGGTGGTCAATTTTTTCTTTTAAACATCAGGATGGGGGCCAGCCCAGTGGGGCAAGTGGTTAAGTGTGCACGCTCCGCTGCGGTGGCCCAGGGTTCACTGGTTCGGTTCCCCGGGCGCTCACCGATGCACTGCTTGGCAAGCCATGCTGTGGCAGCGTCCCATATAAAGTGGAGGAAGATGGGTACGGATGTTAGCCCAGGGCCAGTCTTCCTCAGGAAAAAAAAAAAAAAAAGGATTGGCAGATGTTAGCACAGGGCTGATCTCCTCACAAAAAAATAAAATAAACATCAGGATGCAGAAATTTTGAGACTCCCTGTTTTGATGGTCAGTTTCTCCCAGTTGTGCTTTAGGTTCCCAGCTGATGGACTCTGGTCAACTGATAAGGATGGGCTGACACCTTGAGGAAACTGAAACAGCTCTCGTTTTCTCTATTCCGCTTTTTACCCACATCTAACAGTCTCCCTTAGGGTCAGTGTTTGGTGACCTTGATATGGGTTTAGATTGGCAAATGTGTTTGGTTCCTGAAAAATGACTTTTGTTTGAGAAATGCTCTCATAAGGGAAATGGGGCTTAATCAAAAGTTGTTTCAGTGGTGACATTTATTCTTGTTACTTTGCTGTGTTTTTTGAAATGTTGGGCATGGTCTTGCATTTTGCAGTTACCCATGTGACCTGATTGTTTTCTGGAACTGTGGAACACTTGAAGACTTGGGGTCAGACTCTTCCAACTTTAGAGGTGCAGTGGAAGGCACGACTTGGATGTAGCTGGTGAAGAACGTGGGAATGAGACTGCTTTGGATAAGACTGGGAAGAACTAGAAGACAGTTGGCGATGGAAGATGGTTGTGTATGTGTTTCGGAACTTTGGTCCTCTGTGACACAGAGGAAGAGAGTTACGTTGTGTTATATTGTCTGGTGTATGTTTTGTAATCTGTCAGGTGAGTTTTGTAGACAGCCTAACTGAACCTAGATGACAAGGAGGTTTGAGCGGGGAATGGTGAAGTATGCTTTCCTGTTGTACTCCCCTCCGGCGTGATGGGTTTCAGAGTATCGCATTGAAGAGACAATCTACAAAGAGCTGTGAGGGGCTGGAGAAAGGAAAAGGCATCATCAGGGCCTGTAAAGTCCCTTCTAGTTCATCAGCGTAGTAGACCTGACAGGGACTTGAGGCCAAAATCAAATATGTAATAAGTATTCATTTGCCTTGAAAAACAAAGACCTAAGAAACATTTTTTAAAATAAATTTTTTGTTCAAATGATCAAAGCCCCTGTGTGTGTTCATAAAAGAATCATAAATAAGTTTCCTTTAAAATGGATGTTCTTCCTTGAGTGTCATCATCATCGGATGGGAATGAACTGCTGTAGTTGGCGGCTCTCTGTAAACCTTTAACTGTGAGGCAGGATTATTTATGGAAGGTGCTATGGGGATAAGATGACAGAACGCTCGTGTCTTAACAGAAGCAAACGTCAGGCCATCCTCTGGTGTAAGCCCCTGCTTTACGGCAGGTGAGGTGTGTTTAGTTAGTCGGTCGGTGGGAATGTAGTGAGCTTCATCCTGTCCAGGGCTCTAGGGACACAAAGGCAGGACATGGATTGGGAAGCGGTGGGACAGAAATGGAAGGCAGTAACTGCAGTGTAGTGTGCTTGAGTATCTTGTGGGAGCATTGATGAAGGACTCAGCGTGGCTTGGGGGAGTCTGGGAAAGCTTGTCAGAGAAATGGGTTAACTTGCCCTTGAAAGCTGAGTACAACTTCTGAAAATAGAAACCAGCAAAGACTTCGGAGGCTCAGGGAGCAACCTGAGCAGAAGCCTGGTGAGCTCCAGCACTGGGGGGACGGTCGGGGAGCTGGACATGCCAGTGTGGAGGGGGTTCTGGGAGATGGGGTGAAAGAGGGAGGAGGTCTTCGTTAGGGAGTTCACTCGTCCCTATCCGCCTGTGCTTCAGTGAGCTTTCTTCACCCCAGAGTGTTTCTTTTCTTTTTTTTTTTTTTGAGGAAGATTAGCCCTGAGGTAACATCCATGCCCATCTTCCTCTACTTTATATGGAATGCTGCCACAGTATGGCCTGACAAGCAGTGCGTAGGTCCAAGCCCCGGGTTCCGAACCCGTGAACCCCAGGCCACTGAAGCGGAGTGCGTGAACTTAACTGCTCCGCCTCTGGGCCGGCCCCCAGAGTGTTTCTTACGGAGTGCTGATGGATGCTCAAAGCCGTAGAACAGGCATGGTGCAATTTCCAGAATTGCTCAGTGTAAGTTTTGTTTTTGTTTTTTTGGTGAGGAAGATTTGCCCTGAGCGAACATCGCTTGGCAGTCTTCCTCTCTTTTTTTTTGCTTGAGGAGGATTAGCCCTGTGCTAACGTCAGTGCCAGTCTTCCTCTGTTTTGTGTGTGGGATGCCTCCACAGCATGGCTGATGAGTAGGTCCGCACCCAGGGTCCGAACGCGTGAACCCGGGCTGCCAACATGGAGCACGCAGTATTCCAGCCACGGGGACACGGGGCTGGCCCCCCTCAGTGTAATTTGATAAGAACAAATACATGTTCATAATGACAAGTTGAGATACATATTTTGGATTAATATGTAAAATAGGCATTTTTATGCTAATGTACCTGGGCACAAACAAAAGTAATGTTTTTAGAGGCTGTTTCTGGCCGTGTTTTGGACTCTAGTATCCTTGTTCATGCTTCTGCCTGTCTGGGTTCTTCAGTGGAAGCAGAGAAGTACTGCTTGGAGCCATTGAGACTTTCTCATGAGCAGGGGAATGGCAATGATCACATTTGTAGTTTGGGAACGTTGCTCAGACTGCATGCCGTGTATGCATTAGTGGGAGTTCACGTGAGGGCAGGAAGATGGGGGCTGGTGCAGAAGTACTGGTGGGCATTGAGTGCCTGAACTGGAGCAGAGGAGTGGGAAGGACCAGCTAGGCTTTTGTGGGGTCCAGACTTGGTCTCTTTCTATATCAGTCAACCACCAAGTTAAACTACTGTTAAGAGTTCACCCCAGAGCCTTAGTGGCACACAGCCACCGAAGTTTGCTTCTCATTCGTGTTTATGTACACTGCAGGTTAGTTGCTCCATATCCTCTTAATTCCGGGACCTGGCTGAAGGAGCATCTTCTCTTTGGGATATTAAGAATCTTGATTCAGGAAACTGTTCATTATAAACTACTTCACTGATTTAAAAACAGATGCTTTGGGAGTGAAAAAGCTGACCACACACACACATTTGCACATGTATATATACTATATTTGCTATCCACATATGTGTGTATATAGTATACATGTATATTTTTCCCCTTGGTTAACTGACCGTAGATCATATTCATCCATACGGTTGCATTTCGTTTCTTCATTATCCCAGGGCTTGATTCTAAGCCTCCTTCGTGTTCGGAGCCTGAAGAGTCTTCTGAATCGGTTTTGATCCTTGGCTCTTACTCAGAGCATTGTGATGACAAACTAATTGTCTTAACCCATGCTTGTGATGAAAATGTAATTTAGAGGCATACAGGGGTTTATCTATATTTCCTGTGTGTTTTAACTCATACATTTTCCCCTAGTTGAATGACATATCAGTGAAATTTAAACAGCTTCGCAGTCAGCTAGAAAGTTTGCATTGGCTTCTGTCAGTAGCTCAGAGAGTCATTAGTCTGTCTTGGAGGAGTCAGTCATGCCCAGGTGCCCCTTGCTCTGAAATTCTGTGTTCTCTTCCAAAAGACCTGGGAACTTCTACAACCTTCACTTGCATTGGCTGGCTTGTGATGCCTGCATCTTCAGTAATGTTTTGTTTCAATACTTCTCACAGAGTTTTGCTTTTTCTGAAAACATTTGAATGTCCATTACATACATGGCTCACTATGCTGGTTTTCTTTCTATCCTATATCCCCAACTAACCCACCTACCCCTTGGCCCACTTTTCTCCCTCTCGGCAAGTGTACACATTCTCTGTAGGAAGCCTCACCCGCAGACATACAAGCCTGTTGAAGCAGTATACACGTATGAGCACCTACTGTTACTCAAACTCGGGATATTCTAGAAGGGCTGGCTGTGAAGTAGATGCTGGCCAGGCTCTCGGGGGTTCCATGAGAAGGCAGGCTGGGAGGCTGTTTGAAGACAGACGACGGAGGGCAGTAGGGAAGGGGTGTGGCCGGGTGTGTAGGAAGAGCCCGAGGGGCCCTGTTAGGGGCGTTGGAGGTAACCTGGGAGGGCTTCATGCAGTAGGTGTGTGGGGCATGGACACACCAACAAAAGAACACAAGAACCGGGAGCAGCCCATAAAGGAAGAAGCTGCAGAGCCAGCCCTGACGGTCTGGTGGTTAAGGTTCTGCGCGTTCACTGCTTCGGCGGCCCGGGTTCACATCCTGGTTGTGGAATCACACCACGTCTGTTGGTGGCCCTGCTGTGTCAGCGGGTCACATAGAAGAACTACAGTGACATACAACTAGCGTTATACAACTATGTACCAGGGCTTTGGGGAGGACAAAAAAAGAGGAAGATTGGCAACAGATGTTAGCTCAGGGCGAATCTTTCCCTGCAGGGGGGCGGGGAAGAAATGAACTGCAGCTTCAGCCTCTCCTGAGCCGTGGGCACTGCCAACCCTACTAGGGAGAGGTGGGTTCAAGTCTCTGCTTAAACTCTCCCTCACCAGAGAGGTCTCCCTCTGCTACTCTCTTTAAAATAGCACTGCCATCCCGTTACTCTCCTCTGTTTTTCTTCTCACTACTGACGTGGGATCATTTGCGTGTTGTCTGACTTCTCCCTGTAGAGGGTCAGCCCCTTGAGTGCAGGACCTTTGTTCCCTGCTGAAATCCTGGCACTGAGACCAGTGCTCGGCCGTCATGTGGTTGGTGCGTAATACCTAGTGAATGAGTGAGTGCCAGTTAGGTATGTAAATTTAATTTATATTTAATCATGTCCTCTCACCAATGCAGATAACTCAAACTGACGTTTCTAAGCCAGAAACTTCACTGTCATTCTTGACACCTCTCTCCTTCTCAGCACCCGCCTCCCCATGCTGTCTGTCACTAAAGCACATTGATTCTCCCTCCAGAATACACCTTGGGTTCGTCCACTTCCCTCCGACCAGCCGGAGCCAGTAGTACCCGAGTCTCCTCTCTGGCCTCCCTGCTGGCCGTTCTGCCCCAATCCTGCTCCTTCACAGTCAGCTGGAGTGAGTTGGGCTGTGTCAGTCCCTGCTTAAACCCTTTTTAAAGATTCATTTTACTGCAGATGTTTTTATTTATTCATCAGTATTACTTAGCTCCTACTATATACCAGGCACTGGGAGATACAGCAGTGAACAGACAGTCCAGAAGTTCTGCCTCTGGAGCGTCCTTCTAGCAGTGGAGATACACAGTAAGCAGGATAAATCAAATAGCGTGTTACCTAGAGATGAGCGCTAAGGATATTCACTCATTCGTTCATTTGACATATGTAGTTCATGGATCTACAAGAATTTCTCTGTCTCGCAGAGCTCTCTCATCCTGGTGTTACGCAGTTGCTGCCCCAAATTCAAGCCCCCTCCCTGTTCCCCTCAAATTTTCATCTTCAAAATATTCCATCCTTCCTCTCTTCTAACTTGTCTTCCTCCCTCCTCTTTACGAACTCTAACACCTACTTCAACCAAGGTCCGGCTGTCTCTGCAGCCGCTGTGTGTAGGTTCCCGCACACTGCTCCACTTGCTGGGTGCAGCCACAGAGCCCGTGGGTACTTAGGTACGTCCAGGGCTGCAGTTTTGCCGGGTGGTTGCAGTTCCTAAAGTTGTGTGTGTCTCTGTGTGTGTAGACAATTGGTTCTTGTTATTTGCAGTAGTTATGTTATATAAAGTCACCGTAAACACTGAATTAGCAAATACAGAGTCACTGCTCCTAAGGGAATGCAGGGTTAGGTTTCTGCCAGCCTCTGGCCACATTTTCGTCAACTGATCAATACATAGCCTTGTTTTCTGTGTATTTCTATTTAAAGACACTTTATTTAACATATTTTTGATTTGTTAACATTGACCTGACAGCCAACAGCAGTATAACTTGTGCCTCAACAAAGCTTATCTAACACACATTTTCTCTGTGAGGCACATCACAGCCCTCTTGCACTTAGGAACACTAGACGACACTTTAGCTCTAGGCTTGGGGGCCATTTTAAACAGTGAAATCAACAAAAAACACAAAAATGCAAAAAATGTGCCACTAAGTAGACCATGAATGGACACTTTTTTATAACGTGAGCTGAAACAAGAAGGCAGAATGTCACCTTGTTGGACCTCAACTGGAAATGTGTCAGGTGACTCAAATTTTTTGCCTCCCTGCACGTGTCTGTGAATGACCAGGAAGCCCTGTGAGTATTGGTTTTGAGGTTATAATGCATTTTAGTGAGTTGGTGGAGGAATGGGAGCCATAGTGGCCCAGATCAGGGCTCAGAGCCCTCTGAGCAGGGTGAAAAGGACACCCATGTGGGGGCTGGGAAGAGGGAAATCCAGCCTCGGAAATGAAAGCCCTGGAAGGGTGAGGAGTCCCCAAGGCGGTAGTGTGGGGGTAGGGGGGTTGTCAGAGCCCAAGTAGGGTGGGGGGAGCATCCACGCATGGGGACAACTTGGTGCAGCTTGTCAGAGAGTAACGAGGGCATCCACAGAGGAGGCCAGTCCTGCGAAGTGACTCAGCCCAGGAGGCGGGAGGGTGTACATGTAGGGGGCAGGCTGGCGTAGGGCGTCAGAGCCTGCACAGGGAAAAGGTTTCCATGCAGGAGAGGGGATGCCAGAAGAGGGAGAGATATAAAAAGGGAGAACACTAGAATGAACTCTGTGGTGTTGGTTTGAAATTGGATGTATCCGTGTGAACTCATGGTTTTGTGTGTGTGTGTGTGTGTGTTTACCGTAGATGTGTGTATCTATATAAATTTATGTATACACTTAGAAATGTTCCCTAGTTCTGTCCATTGGGAGGGGCTGGAAGCAGTGACACCCCAATAGTAATAAGCACACCTAGCTCTCAGATCTTGGCTTCTAAATACCATTTTCCACTAAAAGGAACTAGAAGTGCTTGGAGAAATGGTCAGTTCTAGAGCTGGGGCAAGGAAAGTACAAGATGTAGCCAAACATCTTGCCGTGACAGAAAGCAAGGAAATGTTCAAAAAATGTTGGGGATATGTCAAAAGGACAGAGAAGCCAGCTTGAATGGGCTCCTGCTGGCAAATCAGGGGCAGTTTGATCATCAGAACAAATAATGGTAGTAACCACTACCACCCATTGAATAATGGGAAATTGTGAGTTCTCATAAATATGAATACACGAATAAGGTAAATGCTTGATGAAGCAGAATATTTACATAGTTTCAAAGTACCTCACTACAGAATGCTTATTGCTTACAAAGGTGGGAAGAATAACTCTGGTGGAGAAGGCTTTGATGTGGCCAGCGGGAGCCCATTCAAGCTGGCTTCTGTGTCCTTTTGACGTATCCTGGTCCTTCTTTGGACACATCCTTGCTTTCTATCATGACAAGATGTTCTAGATACATCTTGCGCTTTCCTTGCCCCGGCTCTGGAACTGGCCATTTCTTCAAACACCGTCTTAAGCCAGTGATCCAAGTGAGCACGATGAGTAATGGGACAGATTGACCTCGTGTGCCATCTGATCAGATGCAGTGAGAAGAACATTGCATCACTGCTGTGATATTCTTGCCAAAGATACGTAACCCAGACCCAAGCATGAGGAAACATCAGACAGACTCACACTGAAGGAAATCCTACAAAATAACAGCCTGTAACATTCAGAAGTGTCAAGGTCATGGAAGGCTGGGAAACATTGAGGAACTGTTCTTGGTTGAAGAAGACAGAAGAGATATGAGAAGTAAATACAGCGGTGATGCTTTTTTGCTATAAAAGTAATCCTTTTGCTTTAAAAGACATTATTAGAACAATTGGCAAAACTTGAATGGGGTCTTCAGATGAGATGGTTGTGGTGTATCGGTGCTAATTTTCTGCCTTCGGTGGTTGCATTGTGATTATGTGGGGGCATGTTATTTGTAGGACGTTCACATTGTGTGAGTGTGATCAGGGTGGGGGATCAGCAGGTCGGCAGCTTATTCTCAGATTTTTCAGAAAAATAAATTTCTTTGTACTCTACTTCTAAGTTTGCTGTAAGTTTGAGAATTCTGTAATTTTCCAAATTTAAAAAGTTTTAAAAATGATTAATAAAGGAAAACTAAAGACCTTTTTAAAAGTTTAATGTCATCTCTCTGGAATGTAACCATCAGTCTCCACCTCTTACTAAGCATTTTTCATGAACAACAGCAAATAACCTCTGGTCTGTAGCCTGACAATATGTTTCTGATTTTCTTTGTCAGGAGGTTCTTGTCACATACTTCTGCCTGCCTCTTTTCCTTTTGGTCAAAGATTATTAATAAAATCACTATTGTTATTAACTAAATATATATAAATATGTTGTTAAAATCAATAACTTGCACTAACTATTGCATATTCTTTGCCTTAAAATAACGTATTTGAGAGGTTTATGGACAAAATCTGTCCGAGTTCCTCGCTGCGGGCACAGAAGCTGACCCTGGCCAGTTAAGCAGGTCCCAGAATCACAGGGAGGGCTAGAGAAAAGGTGACATTTCCAGGAGCTGCCCACCCTGCAGAACTGGCCTGAAAGCAGCGTTTCCAGGCCTCTGAGCGCAGGACACTGCCGTTTATCATGTTCTCTTCTGCCCAGCACCTCAACTTCACCATCGCTGCCGTCAGCTCCATGCTGAGGCCTTCCACAGAGAGAGCCAGCTAGCTCTTTGAACCTTTCCTTTGCTTCGCTAGCTCTTAGTCAAACCCTGCATGGGTGAATCTGATTGGTGGATCCTAGGTCACATGACAGCACTCTAGCTGCAAGAGAATCTAGTACTCTCAACTTAAACAGGGGTAGATAGATTTGCCACCTATCAAGATGCATAAGTGGGCTGGCCCTGTGGCTTAGCGGTTAAGTGCACGCGCTCCGCTGCTGGCGGCCCGGGTTCGGATCCCAGGCGCGCACCGACGCACCGCTTCTCCGGCCATGCTGAGGCCGCGTCCCACATGCAGCAACTAGAAGGATCTGTAGCTATGACCTACAACTATCTGCTGGGGCTTTGGGGGGAAAAAAATAAATAAATAAAATTAAAAAAAAAAAAAGATGCATAAGTGATGAATTCCCCAGACATAAAAAGGGATAGAGTTGTTGAATGGCCAAAATGAATGACAAGTATCCGCTACAAAGTGATTATGGAGGCAGATACTGACTAAATGTGGCTTAAGCAATATGGCTTTGTATCTCCCACAATCCCAGAGGTATGTGGATCTGAGTCATTTCAGCAGCCAGGGCCTCCAAGCACTATTCACATAGAATATGATATAAGCAGCACTTCCTGGGGCTGTGCAGTGGGTCATCACTGCCAGCCACTCAGTGAAGTTAAAGATCTTCTATGAGCCTCTTCACTTTGTCCTCCCTGATTGCACAATGGCTGCTGCAGCTCCAAGCATCACATCCTCACACAACAATGCCAGGTCCTGAAAGAAGGTGGGAAGGGTGGGTTTCCGCAGCTATGTGTCTTTTTTTTAATCGGAGGAAAATCCTTCCCAGCTAAGGTCGTCATATACATACATCACATACAGTTGTGCAGGTTGTGCACCGCACAGCTCTAGGGGGTACCATTCATGTTATAGTCTTTGCACCTTGATAAAGTTCTTATGGCAGTTTTCCTGCAGATGCCACTACTGGGTCTTGAGGAAGGGTGTCTTTTCCTAATTTGCAGGAATGTGCCCTGAGGGCTGGCTTTGGCCTTGTTCTCAGAAGCCACCAGCCCATCTCCTCAAAAGTCCCAGTGGCAAAGGGAGCAAGGATTGGGCGAGGAGCCCACGTCCCCCGAGTACATCTCTGCTGCACGCCTGAACAAGACCAGGGCTCTGTGACAGAGGAGGAAGAGGGGGATGGCAGCTGGATGGGCAGCATCAGTGTCTGCCCTAGTAACAACCCGGAAACCAGGAGATGTGGTCCAAGAGGAGGGTGCTTGACTGAATGATTCAGAGGTGAAGGAGCCTGGGGTGAAGACAAGACCCCCGGTGGCCAAGGCGAGGAGAAGGGTGCACTGGAGACCAGGAAGTCGGGGCCTGGGGCGGCCCTGCTGTGGAGTGTGTCACCCTGTGAGCACCCGGGACGACGGCAGGACTTGGGGTGGAGAGGCAGGAAGCAGGTGTCCAAGTCCACAGGGAGTGATGCTGGGGGCGGAGGGTGCAGCTGGGCAGCAAGTGCTTCACAGGGGCAAGGAGCAGTGTGGCCAGAGGGCGGGGCACGGGTGGACAGTGGCACGCCAACCCCTTGCCAAACCCAGGGGTAGGTGTGGGGTCTGCTGGTGGAGCGGAGCGCTGTTTCTGAGCACAGAACGAGCCATGTTATGGGAAGCTGTGGTGGAGAGCAGCTCTTTAGGCCCCCTGCTACTCGAGGCACTGAGAGGACAGTGTGGGTGACAGGCCTGGGGAGCTTACTCCTGAGTACAGGCTGAGCCTAGTGGACAGGGCATGTGACTTGCTGTACTCAGCCAGGCCACGGTGGCCCCAGTGCCCACGGTGGCCCCACGCCCACAGCACCTGACGTTCTGGAGGAGGTGACGGTGCACCGTCCCTGCTCAGGAACAGAGCTTAGCCAAATCAGCAGCAGGGGTGCGGGCGACAGCCCCAGGACCAGGATTGCCGCCAGCTCCAGGGTTGCTTCTCCTGCTGGAAAAAATCAAACAAAACTGAGGGGTTCGTCTGGGAAATGGCTGCTGCTTGCTTTCCCAAGCATGATAGTGAAGAAATGTTTGACTTGGATTAAATACTTTGTTTTTTAAAAAAATTCTGGAAGCAACCAAAGTGTTCATCCACGGATAAATGGATAAGCAGAATGTGGTGTGTCCATACAGAGGAACATTATTCAGCCTTAAAAAGGAAGGAAATTCTGACACAGGCTACAACATAGATGGACCTTAAAAGACATTGTGCTCAGTGATGTAAGCCAGTCCCAGTAGCCACCTTCATACAGAAAGTAGAATGGTGGTTGCCAGGTGCTGGGAGAGGTTGTTGAATGGGTGCAGGGTTTCATTTTTACCAGATGAAAAAGGTTTGGAGATTGGTTGCACAACAATGTGAATATACTTAATACTACTGAACTGCACACTTAGAAATGGTTAAGATCATATAAGTTTTATGTTATGTGTTTCTTCTACAATAAAAAAAAATTTCTCCTTTGACCTAGTAATCCTAGGTTAAAAATGGAATCCATTTTTGGAAAATTATCTGAGTTTAAGATAAAGCTTTGTGCATGAAAATGTTAGCTATAGTATACTTTTTAAAAAAAAAATAGGAAGAACTATGTCTTTAATAATGAGCAGATGTCGGTACACTCATTCCAATGAATTCCTTGCAGCCATGAAAAAATGCTGGCTGCGCGGCACTCTGGACAGCGCTCACGTCACCCACAGGTGGGAGGAAGGAAAACTCGACAGCCGGACAGACTGAGGGGCTGTCTGCCTTTAGACTTGACTTTTACCGCCTTTTCTTCTTGGGCCAAGAATTGTGACATTGCAGAAATAATAGTTAAAAAATAAAAGATAAAAAAAAAAAAAAGAAAAAAGAAAAGGGGGCCGGCCCCGTGGCGTAGCAGTTAAGTGCACACGCTCCACTTTGGTGGCCCAGGGTTCCCAGGTTCGGATCCCGGGCGCGCACCGACGCACAACTCGTCAAGCCATGCTGTGGCGGCGTCCCATATAACGTGGAGGAAGATGGGCACAGATGTTAGCCCAGGGCCGGTCTTCCTCAGCAAAAAAGAGGAGGCTTGGTGTCAGATGTTAGCTCAGGGCTGGTCTTCCTCACAAAAAAAAAAAAAAGAAAAAAATTGCTGGCTGGACATGGCTTTTGCTTCACAAGTATCTGAACCCAGGTGCCCCCCAGGGAGTGGTAAACTCCAGAGAGGTGACCGTGGACTTCACCCAGGAGGAATGGGCCGTTCTGCATCCTTCTTGGGGCCTCTGAACAGAAAGGGGCTGACAGAGGACCGCAGGAGGCTGGTTTCTTGGAGCAGGGATCTGTTCTCCAGAGCAGACATAATCTCCCCGTTGGAGTAGGGCGGGGAGCCATGATGAGGTGAAGAGAATTCCAGGGCAACCGTGCACTTGCCAGAAAAAGAATCTCCTTCAAAGCAGGACATTCGATGGAGACCGTCCTGTGGGATGAAAATAGACAGACTGACTGAGGATGGGCCCTGTTGCCTTCGTGAGGAGAGGCTGGGAATTGGGAGGACCTGTCAGAGAAGCCCCAGGACGCTTGAGGGAAGTGGCATGCTGTTACTTTCATACTCCAGCAGTCTGGGTTCTTAGCTGGTGTTGAGTGGTTTAGAAAGGCTGAGAGACCTGGAGAACTAGATTCAGGGCGTGTAGCTGGAAACTTCTCCTACATCCCGGCTGCAAAACCCTTGCGAGTTTCTCCAGGTCCCCTCTTTGCGTCAGTTGTCCGACTCCCCGTCTGGGGCGAGGGCAGAGTCCGGGGAACTCAGGCGGGTGCCTGCGCCCCAGCCACACGCGAGGCCGGCAGCGAGGGCTCTGGGGTGTGCAGCACTTCTCTAGGCTCTGCCTCCTGCCGTGAATAAGCTGGGTGATTTGTCATCACAGGATGGTGGCTAATTTGTGAAGCAGCAAGAAGAGAGAAAAAACGATTTCCACTTTGATCACACTTCCAGCTCCCCCATGTCACATTAACTTGACTTTTCCTGCTTTGCTTAAACATGTATCTGCTCCTATCTAACCTAACGCAGCTCTCCGTCTTGTAAAAACCTGTGCTGTCCCCTCCCCAGCGAGGGGTAAACCAAAGCCTCATGGCGGTGTGTCCACCGCCAAGTGCAGGGTCTCTCAGTGATGCCCGTTTCTGCTGGTGAAGAGTATTCAAACGTGAGAGGAGGCTTCGACTGCTGAGGATTCAACAAATGATGGGGGTCTCAACACCAGGCCAGATTACTGACCTGACACTCAAGACTCACTTGAGTCACTTTGGTTGCTTTCTAGACAGTTTCATGACTATAAACATTGGCGATGTGGACAGTTGTTCACTGGCCATTCTAATCCTTACTTGTAACTAATTTCCTCTCTAAGTCTGTTACTGTGTTTTATGATCTTTGTGGGAAAATAAAAGTACCATTAAAAACATGCTACTTGAAAAAACGTGTTTGGAGAGATGGAGGAGGCAGGGTTTGACGAGTGGCTACATGACTGACTGGCTGGCTGGCTGGCTGGCTGGCTGGATGGATGCATGTCCCACAAGCTCCCCTTGGGTCCAGGACAGGGTGGCACTCACTTTGTGCTGACAAATAAACAAAAGCAGGGGCTGTGCGTCAGCCATCGGGCTGGCACAAGGTGGGCATTCAGGAAATGGCCTGTGAATGGATTCCTACCAACTGCCCTGTGTCGTTTTCATCTGCATCTCTCCACTGGGCAGGCAACGAGCATTAAGTGACAAATCAGCGAATTATTCAGTGTGTGTGTGTGTGTGTGTGTGTGTGTGTGTGTGTGTGTGTTGGGGGGGTGGGTGGATGGGGGTGGAGCACTGAGGTTTTAAGGGAATAATCAGTTTCTCTGAGGCCAGGATCATTTCACGAGCATTTTATTAAGCAGAGGGCCATCAGCAGGCTCAGCCCACGGGAACGCTTGCCGACAAGGGCTAGGGAGCCAGGGGCCCGCTCGCTGACCCTGCCGTGCCCCCTTCAGGAAGCTGGGTCTGCGGGGCCTCATTTGGGTCCCACCTGCTGGAAGTACATGTGGCAGGTAGACGTGAGTGCAGCCACAAACACGATGAACTCGCTGAAGTCCACCTCCGCGTCTCCGTTGGCGTCCAGGTCCTTGAGCAGTCTGTCCACGGCGTCCTTGTCCTTCCCACTCTAGAGGACACAGGCCCAGGGTCAGCAAGGAGGGCGCCTGCGCGGAGCCTCAGCCTCAGCCTCAGCCCAGCGGCGCTGCCGGGCAGAGGGAAGGGAAACCCAGCGTGTGCGCTTTGCTGTCCTGCGGGCTCGGTGCCGGGGCCGGCTGTGCGCCCCAGACATGCGGCAGCCCTGGAAAGAACACTCGGGCTCTAGAAGCTGGGAGCTGCCCTAACGTAGGTGACGTGACGTGAGCTACCCTGTAGTTGTTTAGGCCAGCTCTGGGTTGCGCTATGCTGTGCAGGAGGGAGTGTTGATTTTACTTTTATGTTTTGAATGGCATTGTCTTTGGATCGTGTCATTGCTTTAAAATGATGATTATTCCCAGGAAACGCACTCACTCATGCTCTGTCCTGGGTGCGCCACTGGCTTTGTGGGTGTTACCTTATTAAAACTCTTTGTATTACCTTTATGGGACACCCATCTCATGCTGGCCCCCAGCTAGTTGCTTTACATGAACCTGTAGTCCTCACGCCCACCAAGCAAGAGGATGCATCAGCTGGGCGCAGATGAAGAAGATAAGGCCCAGAGGGCCCAAGAGACCTGCCGGAGACACCTGGGAGACCAGGCCTGGAGCCACAGAGTCCCTGCTCTCCCCTCTGCTAGGGCACCTGGCTCAGGGCCCCAAGGCCCCAGGTCATCTTTGAGAGGGCCCGTGGGGGTCTCTGAGAGCCTGAGCCTGCTCATGTGACAGTCAGTACGAGAGCACTGTCCTGAGGAGGGGACCAAGGCCACCACAATGCAGATCTGAAAAGCAGCAGCAGGGGGCGCTGGCGGCCCAGCCCTGGTACTGACAAATTCAACGGCAGTGTGTCCACATGGCAGAATGCCTTGCAGCATCAAAAGTGAGGTTCATGAAGTTTGTAGCTGGTCAGCCACCCAGTATTTCTGAATCTCCGACTGTGCCAGGCGCTGGGCTGTGGACGCTGCGGAGCGCAGTGCTGCTCCAGCTTGGCTGGGCTGCAGTATCTGCTGGCGGCCCGGCCTGTTGAAGGGCCCGAGCCCCAACCTTTACCAGGTTCCCCGGGGATTCTGACCCAAGTCTGAGAATCCCCTGCTCAGCCACTGGTTCTCAAAATGTGTTCCCGGGACCACCTGCATGAGGGGGGTGTTCAATGAGCATCAAAGTTTGAGAATGTATGCTATAATATTAAGTTCAATAAAAGTTAAATTGCATATAAATTAGAATTTACATCAATTCATTCACATCAACTTTCACATGGGGGAAGGCTGAGAGGAAGAGGGAGAGGGAGAGTGTGTTGGGGCGATTTCTTCCCTCCACATTTCTGTACTTTTACATTTTCTACACAAACATATATTTATAACAGAGAAGAACAAATGAACTTTAAAAGTATATCATCGTTGCATTCATATCTAGAAAAAGATACATATACTGAAGTGCTCAGTATCTTTGAATTGATACTTGAGCAGAAAACTTCAGGCTCCCATATTCGAGAATCAGCACCAGCACAGACCCCTTAGAGGGCAAGGGCAGGCAGACTTGGTAGGGCCTGGGGGCAGGGAGGAGGAAGAGTAGGGGCAGCTGGAGGGTGAAGAGCAGAGAGGAGGAGGAGGGAAGTGGGAAAAGGGAGCGGGGAGGAGGGAGCAGGAGGCAGAGGAGGGCGGGCCTCTCCTCAGAGGTCCCTGGGGAGACCCCTTTGTGGGCCTCCAGGCCCAAGGCTCTGGGCAGACGGGTGCCAGGATGGGACCTCCTCCCGTCCCTATTCCTCTCAGTCCCGCTGACGCCGGGTAACGGGGTCCCCGGGCCGGGGGGGCATGGGGCCTGGGAAGCAGAAGTGGAGCTGGCCTGTTTGTGGCCAGCAGCCTTGGAGAGGGACAGTTCCAGTTACAGCAAAGCTGGCCTCAGAGACGGCCCTGGACTGGGGCCCTGTGCCTCCACCTCCCAGCCCCACCGCTCCTGTTCGCATCCCACGCTTTCCCGCTGGGCCCCCGCAGAGAAAGAATCCCAGTCACAGGAAAATTGGGGCTCCAACTCCATGTTTCAAGGATCGACCTGGCCACATCCTCTCCCTGCTCAGAAGCTCCGGAATCCCCAGGCCCTGAGGCAGCAGATCCATTCCCCGCCTCCGCCTCGCCTCCTCCTGCTCTCCCCTGGGGCTGCTCTTTAGAGCCTCTGGGTCTTGACCCTTTCTGTCCCTTCTGCCTTCCGCGCCCTCCTCTTTTTTCTCCCCCGCTCATCCTCCCTGGCCCTCCCCATGTTCCGCCATCAAGCCCACCCAGTCCCACCCCGTCCCCCAGGGCCCTGCGCCCTGGGCCTCACCTGCAGGAAGCCCGGGAGCTCCTTCTCCATGAGCGTCTTCAGCTCCGCCTTGGTCAGGCTCTGCTTGTTGCCCTCGGCACCCGAGTACCGGGCGAAGACGTCGATAATCATGCCCATGGCTGTCTCCAGTTCTGTCATGGTGCTGGATGTGGACCCTCCTTCCTCCTGGGGGCTGGCGTGGCCGAGGAAATGTCCCACGGGAGGCCTCTTGGCCCTTTATAAGGCCTAGCCTCTATTGACACAGAGGGTGGGACAAACATGGCTGGAGTGTTCAACAGACCCGCCCCTCCCCGTTCTGTGTTGCTCAGTTCTGATGAAACGCTTTGTGGCAACTTCCTGGAACCTTCCCCCAGCCCAGGCCAGGGTACCGGCCACCTTGGTGCACCCACCCTTTACTGTGCTTCCCTGTGTCTTGGGGTCATCACTGAGTTACATTGGTGTCCCCCACCCCGGGGGTCTAGGGGGGTCTCTGGGGTAAGTGGGTGCCTGGTGAGTATTTGCTGAGTAATGAATGAGTGTCCCCACCCGTCATGTGGCCCCTGTCTGTGTAGATATCAGATGGGCCTCTGGCACTCAGTGGACGGACACGAGGAAATGCTGTTTGAGGGAATGAATGTTGGAACGAACAGCTATGCTCCTGTAGCCCACTTTTCAGAACACCCTGTGAGTCATTCAGTGCACCAGCTTACACCTCGGCCCTGCTCCCCAACCCTGCAGCCGTTACAGGGGTTAGACAAGGCGAGGGCTCCTCTCCGCCGCTGCGTGTGTCAGGATGGCTCTGCGCCTGGGGTGGAGGTCAAGTTCGCACCCCTCTCCCGCCCTCCCCAGGGGTGGGCACGCGGAGGTGGAGTTGGAGGTGTTTGTCGCTGGGAAAGCCTGCGGGGCCTGGGCTGCCCAGTGTGGTTGCAGCGGGAGAGCCTGGACAAGACTCTGAGGTCAGGGTGGGGGGACAGAAATCAAGCCGCGTCCACAACGGGCTTAGCACCAGCCTGGCACTCACCCAGAGCAGCCAGTCTTACAACAGCCGACTCTCCTTTGGACACATTGCTGTTTTCCAGGTTTCCTGCAAGGGAGGCTCAGCGTGGCCCCACTGGTGATCATTGGTGAACAGGAAAAGGTCTGCTCCACTCACTCCTGCGAAGGGCAGTTCCCTCTTAGGATGAGATGCCATCGGGTCCCCAGGGCCTCCCAAAGGAATCCATTAACCAGGACCTTATCAGCACAACAAAAGGAGAGCTGACCCCAGGCAAGAAGCGCTCCTTAGGGGGTCCTTCACTCTAAGTCGCAGGAGAGGGACCACAACACAGGTGGGAGCTGCTCCCCACCCCTGACGTTCCACTCCACCAGGCTGCCCCCGCTAGAGCAACCCATTCGCAAGCCCTACCGGAAAGGGGGCCGGCCCCTGGAGCCGCTTCTCAGAGGACGGGGCCTCATTGCCGAGAAAGGGTTCTGGAGGACCCGTTGTGTCAGAGCACCTGTTAAAGAAAAAAATATTCTGACACTTGTTAAAACAGAAGGAAGACAGTTCAAGACTGTTGCACCAGGAGTCAGGACTATCGCAATAGGGGCGAGGGGCCTGGGCTCAACTCTGAATATGACAGGAACAGCTGGGCATTTGTAGCTGAGGAGCAGAGTGAGGGAGTCAGTGGATGGAAAATTACTAAGAGGAGACCTCAAGGGTTGGGGGATTCTTGCTAAAGCGAGGCCAAAGGCTTACACACCAAAAGTGGGGATGAGGAACCTGGTCAGATATCAGCAGTGGGGAAGTGACTTAGCTTCGGCTGGGCTAGGCAGGCTGAAGACAGGACGGGGCCCAAGGATGAGGCTGAATCGTAAAGAGGGCTCAGAGGAGCCCGGCTACAGTTTGGTCAAGGAGAGTCTGTCAGACCCAGAGGACAGCTCCCAGACCTGCTAGGCGAGCACATGGGACAGAAAAGGGCCAGGCCTGGGGCTGCCTTCACGGTGGCAACTGCTTTACCGGGCCTGGCTGCTGGCTGGGAGGGGCTGGCGCGTGCCCAGGGGAGGCGCTGCTGAGAGAGGGCTGCGGGGGCCTGCGGCAGGCCAGGGGGCAGGGCCTTCAGTCAACGTGATCAGGCACGCTCACACCCTGCACTCCCACCTCTTTGCTAAAAATGGATGCGTTTCTTCAGAAAGTTTCATTATAAATGTGTGTTTTCTTCAAAATCTTGTTTTCAAACTTATTGCAAAAGTAAAGCAGGCCCACTCAAAGACCTCTCTAGGTGGAGATCTGTGTAGGGTTAAAAAAAAAAAGTGGTTAGCTCACTGTTGTTAGAGTGACACAAACGGAAAACAATGCCGGTTAGAGATCACTAAATGCCTGGCCTCCTCAGCAGACAGTCTTTCTGTGGGCGGATAACTATTTTCCAGACTGGGTCTTAACTCTATTAAAAATTTAGCAGCAATTGCATTTATCTGGAAGCTATTTTCTTTCCAAAAGGAGATTGTGAATTGCATCATGCAGAAAACCCTTCTCTCTGCCCCTGACCATGTTGGGGTCATTTTTCTTCCCACCCCACCCCGGGTCGCGGGTGCCAGGGTCCCCTTTACAGCAGCGAGACTCTGTGGGGTCCCGGAGTAATCGTCTAACAAGTGATGTCACCGCACAGGGGAGAGGGCCGCGGGCGGTCAGGAGGAACAGAGGACGCAGAGGCCTTGGCCCTCACCCAGGGCCACGCGTCTTCGGAGGGCCTCTAGCCTTCCCCTGCATGCTCCAGGTCACCCATGGACATCTGGGCACGGGGCCCCCTCACGTCCAGTGTCAGAGGTCAGATGAAGAACCTCTGACCTTCCTACACATTAAGCATGGTAAGGAGGAACGACAAAGGGGCCCCAGGTCATCACCACCCAGGAGGCCCTGACCAGTAGACAAAAGGCCACCGCCCCCCCAGAAGCCAAGGGGCTGCCCGACTTCTGCCACAGAGGATGGGCCGCGGGAAGAGTCTCCTGTGGGCCCAGGCGCGTGCTGGGGTCAGGAGGTTTGGGAGGAGCACGGTATATGGCGGGGCAGGCGCGCGCGGCGCGGGCTGCTGCGTCTGGTCAGGTGAGGGGTTCTGAGGAGGAGAGCGCCTGCGCTCAGCAAGCACAGCCAAAGTCCCTTCGTGTGTGGCCCCAGGTCAGCGCAGGCCCAAACCACGTTGTGTAGCAAGTTCATGTGGGTCACCCGGGCTCCTGCGCTGGGCTGGGGGACGCATGATGGGAGAGACTCGAACCCTGACCTCAGGGGTGCCAGCCAGAGACAGGGAGGCGAGGGGGAGGTGACTGAGGAGGGGAGGAGCAGAGGGGCAAGGAGAACCCGGGCCAGAACAGCACCTAAAGGACGCAGTGGGGTTTGGAGAGGGAGGGGGGCTTGGAGGAGGCAGCGCCGCGGGACGTGGGGCAGCAAGGGAACAGAGGCAGGAAGAACTGACACTCTGGGGAAGCGGGAAGTTGGGGTGGGCTGGAGAGGACAGAAGGGCATAGACCAGGAAAGGCCCTGCAGGTTGGCCTCCCCTGGACCCTATCTCCTAGGCCTGGGCCTTGCAGCCCTGGCTGCACAGCACAGCCCCTGGGCTCTTTATTTATGTATTATATTTTTATTTATTTATTTTTTTGTGAGGAAGATCGGCCCTGAGCTAACATCTGCCAATCCTCCTCTTTTTTTGCTGAGGAAGACTGGCCCTGGGCTAACATCTGTGCCCATCTTCCTCTACTTTATATGGGACGCTGCCACAGCAAGGCTTGCCAAGCGGTGCATTGGTGCGCACCCAGGAGTGGCCACTTGCAAACCTCTTTCTCCAGCTAGAAAGCTAAACGTGCTCCACTGCAGTGGAGCACGTGCACTTAACCACTTACGCCACCGGGCAGGCCCACCCCCTGGGCTCTTTAAAGGCCAGCTGTCTGGGCCCCACTCACCCAGAGCTGCCAAGATTTCACTGGGCTAGGCTGGCCCAAAGCTTCCCCGGGGACCCTGCTGTGCAGCCAGCTCAAGACCAGTGGCCTGGAAGGTTTTCAGCTGGGAAGAGACGTGGTTGGATTTGCCTGGTTTTTTTTTGCTGAGGAAGATTAGCCCTGAGCTAACATCTGTTGCCAGTCTTCCTCTACTCTCTGATGAGTAGTGTAGGTCCACGCCCGGGATCTGAACCTGTGAACCCGGGCCGCCGAAGTGGAGTGCACTGAAGTTAACCACTATGCCATGGGGCCAGCCCTGGATTTGCCTTTTGAGGTCAACTCCACAGCTGGTGTGAGACATGGACGAGGAGGGTGAGGCTGGAGACAGGGAGGCCAGAGAGGAGGCCGCAGAGTAAGGAGCCCTCCAGCCATACAAGTTCAGGGGCCCTGCAGCTGCCTGCCCAAAGGACATTTGGGAGCTGGCAGAGGCCTCGCCAGGGAGCAGAATAGAGACGAAGAGGGGGGCCTCACCATCTGATGTAGCCTCCATGCTTGGCAGAAGGGGAAATTGAGACTCAGAGTGAGGATGTGGGTGAACAAGCCCAGGCTCCTTGTCTCCTCTCCACTCTTGTTGCACAAAGAGCTCTGGGATCGAACTGGTTTTATTTATTTATTTTTTTGTGAGGAGATCGGCCCTGTGCTAACATCTGCCAATCCTCCTCTTTTTTTTTGCTGAGGAAGACTGGCCCTGGCATAACATCCGTGCCCACCTTCCTCCACTTTATATGGGACGTCGCCACAGCATGGCTTGCCAAGCAGTGCGTCGGTGTGCGCTCGGGATCCGAACCGGTGAACCCTGGGCCGCCGCAGCTGAGTGCACACACTTAACCGCTTGCGCCACCGGGCCGGCCCCTCAAACTGGTTTTATCCTTGATAAAGTCGCAGACAAATATTTGATGAGGGAGGAGGTTGAGAGAGTTGAGGAAATGAGTTTCTCAGGGACAAGCTGAATGTCAGAGGTCACGTACCACGTAGCTGTGAGGGCAGGGACCTCATCTTACCCTCGACACACAGCTCCCGGGGAAGGCGGCAGTGAGCCCTCGACCCAGGAGTGGCCACTTGCAAACCTCTTTCTCCAGCTAGAAAGCTAAAAAAAGCCATCTCCCAGCCTCCTGTGCAGCGGGGGGGACCCACACACTATAGTTCTGGTCAAATGATGTTTCCCTGAGGGCTATGGGAGGCTGGCCTTGCTGAATACAAAAAAGCCTTTAGCCCTCTGCTTCGTCCTTCCTGAAACCCGGAAGTGATATGCAGAGGAGCAGCGGCTGTGCTGCAACCGTGGGCACGAGGCCATGACA